GGACCCCAACAGAGAGGGGGAGTGAGGGGGAGGTGGTAGCATTATAGGTAATGCTGAAAGAGCGTTGTGACAGGTAGGATGAGAGCCAGGAGAGAGCAGAATCTCTGAGGCCGAGGGAGTGTAGTATTTTGAGGAGGAGGGGGTGGTCAACTGTGTCGAAGGCTGCAGAGAGGTCAAGGAGTAGGAGCACTGAATAGTGGCCATTAGCTTTGGCGGTTAGAAGGTCGTTGGAGAGTTTGAGTAAGGCGGTTTCGGTGGAGTGTAGGGGGCGGAAGCCAGACTGTAGGGGATCAAGGAGGTTGTTGTCGTTGAGGTGAGAGCATAGGCGGGTGTAGACGAGGCGCTCGAGGAGTTTAGATGTAAGTGGGAGCAGGGAGATGGGTCTGAGGTTATTCGGGTCATTGGGGTCCAGGGAGGGCTTTTTAAGTATGGGGGTGATGTGTGCATGCTTCAGTGGGGGGGGGGAAAGTGCCGGAGGAGAGGGAGAGATTAAAGATGTGGGTGAGGGAGCATAGGATGGAGGGGGAGGGAGGTCGTAGGAATTGTGAGGGGATAGGGTCGAGGGGGCAGGTGGTGAGGCGGGCATCAGAGAGGATCTTGGAGACTTCCTCGATGGTAGTAAGGTCAAAGGTGTGGAGTGCTGGGGGAGCTTCAGTATGAGGAATGTAGGGTGGGGTGGGAGTGGAGGTCAGAGCAGTGGTGGGGCCGTGGGAGAGGGGTGATGAGGGGGTAGCTGAGTGAGGGGGAACGGGGTTGGAGGGAGTTTTTGAGCAGTGACGAAGTCCCTGCGGGTAATGTCGAGGGGGAGGGGGATGATGGGGTAGCTGTGTGAGAGGGGACGGGTTGAGAGGGCGTGTGAGTTGCGGCAATGTCCTTGCGAATTGTGTCAATCTTGTTTTTGAAGTGATTGGCAATCTCAAGGGCGGCGAGTGAGGTGGAGGTGGGGGTGGAGAGAGTAGAGAGTTGAAGGTGGAGAAGAGTCGGCGAGGATTGGAGGAGAGGGTCTTGATGAGGGTCAAGAAGTAGGCTTGTTTGGCTGCGTGGAGGGAGGAGGTGTAGGTGCGGAAGGCAGATTTGTAGCAGGTGAAAGCTTGTTGGGATTTGGTTTTGCGCCATAGTCGCTCCAGGGCACGACTGCGTCGTTTGAGGGTTTTGGTGTGATCAGTCTGCCAGGGCTGGAGCGGTCGGAGTCTGATGTTGCGTGTGGTTAAAGGCGCTAGTGAGTCAAGGGCTGCTGACAGCGCGTTGTTGTAGGCAGTCATAGCCAAGTCGGGGCAGGACAGGGGGAGGATGCGGTCGTGGAGTTGATCAGCTGCAGAGTGGAGGGGGGCAGGGTTAAGGTTGCGGAGGTTACGGCTGGTAGTAGTGTGACATTTGGAGGGGTAGGCGTTGGAGGACGAGGAGATAGAGAAGGTGATCAGGTTGTGGTCAGAGAGAGGGAAGGGGGTGTTAGTGAGGTTGTGGGGAGCGCAGCGGTTGGAGAAGACAAGATCAAGGATATTACCGTCGGAGTGGGTGGTGGATTGTATGCACTGTGCAAGTGCAAAGGAGGAGGTTAAGTGGAGGAGACGGGCTGTGTCCGGGTTGTCAAGGTTGACAGGGATGTTGAAATCCCCAAGAATTTAACCACTTTCCATCTGCCCTAAAGCAGATTTACCTTCTGTCGGAGCGCCACTTCTGCTATGATTGGACACAGCAGAAGCCAATCAACAGGTGCCGGCCAATGGATTAGCTCCTGCAACTGAGGAGACTGACAGAATGCAGCTCTGCCTATGTAAACAAGGCAGAGCTGTGTTCTGTCAGCAGTGATCTGCTAGACTTGATTCAGGGAATAAAATCTAGCAGATTGCCTAGTAAAAACAGCACACACAGTACACAAAACACGGGCTAGGCACACAATTAACCCTTAGATCGCTCTAGATGTTTAACCCCTTCTACAGTGACAGTGTACATTTTTAGCACTGATCACTATATTAGTGTCACTGGTTCCCATAGTGTCAGTGTCAAACTGTCCGCCGCAATATCAGTTCTGCTACAAGTCGCTGATCGCTGCCATTACTAGTATTAAAAAAAAAAAAAAAAAAAAAAAAAAAAACATTCCAGTATATATACCGCCATTTGTAGACACTATAACTTTTGTGCAAACAAATCAATATACGCTTATTGGGATTTTTTTGTTTCCAAAAATATGTAGAATATATTTTGGCCTAAATTTATGAAGAAATTAGATTTTTTTAAAAAATGTTTATTCGATATGTTTTATAGCAGAAAAGTAAAAAAATATTTTTTTTTTTGTTTATTTTAAATGTCTGTGTTTTTTTGTTTATAGCACAAAAAATAATAAACCCAGAGGTGGTCAAATACCACCAAAAGAAAACTATATTTGTGAGACAAATTCCATAAATTTAATTTATTTACAGTGTTGCATGACCGCACAATTGTCAGTTAAAGTAACGCAGCACCGTATCGCAAAAAATGGCCTGGTTATTAATGGGGAGTTAAATCTTTTGGAGGTCAAGTGGATAAAATGGCTTAGAGTGGAATTTAAAAAAAAAAAAAAAAAAAAAAAACACGTGAACTTCTAAACAGCAATAATGCATTGGCTGGTCATCAGCTCGGCCATCAAGTGCCCTTACAATGTTGGCAGCCACTGTAGATTGTGTAAGAAAAATGTGACATGAGAATAAAGAACCTTAATAGCAAAAATAAAATGACATTTTACATACTGGATAAGGCTGGTACAAGAAGGGACTGTACTTTAAATTGTGCCGTATAACAAACAGATAACTCTCATGAGGTGTATGTCACCGCTACCATCTCTTTACTATTTATGTTTTCAGTGAAGCCAGATAGTGCAGCTCACCCTATAATTCCAGAGTTGCCACCCTCATACACATAAGCTGTACTGTCATTTATCTGCCCCTCCTCTCCCCTTGTCCATTCACAGATCGCCATATATTTTCAATACTGGTACCCCAGGACATTTTCCCCTTGAAACCCTGGGGCATTTTCCCCTCGTACTGATCACTGACACCAGGACATTTTTCTCCTCCTAGTGACACCAGGGTATTTTCCCTTTGTAGTGACCACTGACCCCAGGACATTTTCCCCTCCTAGTGGCCGCTGACGCTGGGACATTTTCCCCTCCTAGTGACAACAGGGTATTTTCCCTTTTCCGTGACCACTAAAACCAGGACATTTTTTCCCCTCATACTAACCGCTGACCCTTGAACATTTTCCCCTCCTAATGTTCACTGACACTGGGGCATTTTGCATCGATACCGACTACTGCCGCCGGGGACATTTTGCCCTCACGTCGACCACTGACGCCGGAGGCATTTTGCCCTCACGCCGACCACTGACGCCGGGGGCACTTTGCCCTCACGCCGACCACTGACGCCGGGGCATTTTGCCCTCACGCCGACCACTGACGCCGGGGCATTTTGCCCTCCTAGTGACCACTAACACTGGGACATTTTCTCCTCCTAGTGGCAGCTGATGCCGGGACATATTTCGTTCTAATATTCACTGACGCAGGGGCACTTTTCCCTCATACCGACCTCTGACGACAGAGAATATTGCCCTCATACCGACCGCTGACGCCGGGGGCATGGCCTGCCCATACCGACCTCTGGCGCCGGGGGCATGGCCTGCCCATACCGACCTCTGGCGCCGGGGGCATGGCCTGCCCATACCGACCGCTGGAGCCGGGGGCATGGCCTGCCCATACCGACCGCTGGCGCCGGGGGCATGGCCTGCCCATACCGACCGCTGGCGCCGGGGGCATGGCCTGCCCATACCGACCGCGGGCGCGGTCTCCTCATACCGACCACGGGCGCGGTCTCCTCATACCGACCGCTGGCGCCGGGGGCATGGTCTCCTCATACCGACCGCTGGCGCCGGGGGCATGGTCTCCTCACACCGACCGCTGGCGCCGGGGGCATGGTCTCCTCACACCGACCGCTGGCGCCGGGGGCATGGTCTCCTCATACCGACCGCTGGCGCCGGGGGCATGGTCTCCTCATACCGACCGCTGGCGCCGGGGGCATGGTCCTCCTCATACCGACCGCTGGCGCCGGGGGCATGGTCTCCTCATACCGACCGCTGGCGCCGGGGCATTTTCCCCTCATACCGACCGCTGACGCAGGGGCATTTTCCCCTCATACCGACCGCTGACGCAGGGGCATTTTCCCCTCATACCGACCACTGACGCAGGGGCATTTTCCCCTCATACCGACCACTGACGCAGGGGCATTTTCCCCTCATACCGACCACTGACGCAGGGGCATTTTCCCCTTCTAGTGAACCCGGGTAATTTCCCCACATGCTGACTACTGAAGCCAGGACAATTTTCACTCATACTGACCTGGGAGCATTTACCCCTCCTAGTGACCCCAGATGTTGGGACATTTTCCTCTCATACTGACCACTGACACTTTCCCCCCACTGTGACACCAGGGCATTTTCCCCCCATACGGACACATGCCATCAGGGGAATTTTCCCTCCTAAAGACCCCTGGGAATTTCCCCTCATACGGACCACTGAGGCATTTTCCCCTCCAATGAATACTGGGGCATTTAGATTGTAAGCTCCACTAGCAGGGCCCTCATATTCCTTCTGTACTGAAATGTATTATAATTGTATTGTCTCCCTCTATATTGTAAAGCACTGTGCAAACTGATGGTGCTATATAAATCCTGTATAATAATAATATCCCCTCATACTGATCACTGATGTGGAGGCACTTTCCCTCTCCATGCCAGCCCCCCATTGGACAATCACCACTACTGAACAGGACAATGATTCCTGGAAGATGGCAGTGTGAGGTCTGGACACCAGCTACAAGGAAGTGTACTATGTGAGGGACCCGGAAGCTGCTCCTGATAATGAGGACATCCCCTACAGATCTGATCTCTTCCCCCAACACAACCTCGTCCCCGACCAGCAATGACCCCCATCCCCCACCCTGGCCGGCCACATTGCCCGCACACTGTCTCACCTGAGCTGTGCCTTCTCCTCCTTGGTCATAGCAGCATGCCCCGTTCGCACCAACACCTGGCACATGAGATAAAGCAGCAGATGTCTCCACACTGTGCCCCATGTCCGGGGCTCTTCCGCTGAGGAGCTCATACTGGAGAACAGGTTGTCCGCGTTTGCTAGGCCCGCTGTGAACGCATTGTTCAGAGGGGAGAAGCCCGAGTGTCTCCGAGGCCTGTGTATCCCGGGCCTGGCCAGCCGAATGTCGCCCAACCTCAGGTGTCACTCTCCGCAGCCAGCTGCCCTCTGCTTCCGGCTTTCAGCAGCAATCATGACGTGCGAAGAGGGGACAAGCCTGGTCCAATCAGCGCGCTCCGACCTGCCTGGTGTCATAGGTGTGACGTGGAGCCGGAGATCCGGTGGGCGGCGACACAATGAAGACAGGCATCCTATTGGAGTAGGAGAATGTTTATTCGTGGGCTGTGTGTGGTCAGCCTAGAGTGGATGTGACCAGACGGCAGGATATATGGGCTCCAGTCTGATGGTATACACGGTACTACACAGACACCTGGGCAGCTTCTCTGCTACGCCTTATGGCTGAGGCTCTGCTGTCTACAGGAGAGGACAGCAGTACTCTATGTAGTGTGATGGGATCCAGAATGATTCTCCTGGTGTGTGATCTGAGGACCTGCCTTATCTAGCCAATCACCTTGTAGGCAATCAGGCAGGCTCTTGCCATACTCAAGGGTATGGAATTAAAAAAAAAAAACTACTTGTCCAAGGGACTAAACTGGGGTCCCAATCTACTTGTCCCGATAAAAAAATTACCAAAACCGTATTTCAATAAGGATGTAACATTGCTATGTATCTCCTACTCACCTCCCTACCTCCAGCACTACACCTGGGGACTAGCAGGGAGGGGAGAGACCTTGCAGTGTGAGGAGCACCGATTGGGTGCTCACCAGGAAAGGGGAATGCGGGGCTCTCTTAATGATCAGCAGAAGCGCATCTGTTGAGTAAATGAGGCAGCGGCCCCAAAAAGAGAAAAAGAAAGTGTTGGGCTCCATGTACACCAGCTTACTCTGACCGCAGGCCGTGGGAAACAAAATCGCTGCAAAATTGCCTTAGGCTTCATGTACACAATCACTCGAATTTTTCATCTGTTCCGTTTTTTTTTTTTACGGAAGAAAAATAAAGTTTTCTTCCGTTCAAAAAATGGATGTTAACGGATACGGACATTAATGGATGTAAATGGATGATCATCCGTTTACATCCACTAGTCCATAGAAATACATGGGTGTCGTTTTTCGTTTGTAAACGGACAGATGAAAAACAGACATACGGAACGAGGCCTCTGTTAGATCTGTGACTGTTATGACACCAGCCGTTTGATGACTTGACAGTTTGCTTGAGATCACAATCCAGTGTGACAGTTAGCATTTCGGATAACAATTTTTTTTAAACTGTTAAATCGGCGGATTTAGTTTGCCTGTGCAGCCTTGACTAAAGTTGAATAATGCTCCTGCTATAGGTGTAGGCCTTTATGTAAGTCCTAAAGCCTGACCAAAAAACTCCTGGAGATGGCATCCCCCTGTCCTGCCTTGTTGGTAGGACATTGCTAAGACATTCCCAGCTGTTACTGTTTCTGGAGCAGCCCTTTGTTTGCAGTCAGCTCTGCATCATCTCACATATCACTCACACTTGTCGCACCCCCCCCCCCCCCATACCCACAGATAAATAAAAGTTAAGTACACATTTTGTGGCACAGTGGGCAAGCTGACAGTGTCTCAGTGGAAATACAAATTTTGAGCTTTCTGTCCAATATACACTGCTCAAAAAAATTAAAGCAACTCTTTTTAATCAGAGTATAGTATCAAGTCATTTAAACTCCTGGGAAATTGATCTGGTCAGTTAAGTAGCAGAGGGGGCTGTTGATCAGTTTCAGCTGCTTTGGTGTTAATGAAATTAACAACAGGTGCACTAGATGGGCAACAATGAGATGACTCCCAAAACAGGAATGGTTTTACAGGTGAAGGCCACTGCCATTTTTTCTGTTTTTCATTATTTTTGCATTTGGCTAGGGGCAGTGTCACTGGACTCTACAAGATTACACAGACAGTCCATCAATACATGAAATTGCCAAAAGGTTTGCTGTGTCTCCCAGCACAGTCTCAAGAGCATGGAGGAGATTCCAGGAGACAGGCAGTTACTCTAGGAGAGCTGGACAGGGCTGTAGAAGGTCCATATCCCATCAGCAGGGCCGGTATCTGGAGAAGCCGTGGAGAACGTTATGCTGCCTGTAACATAGTTCAGCATGACCGTTTTAGTGGTGGGTCAGTGATGGTCTGGGGAGGCATATTCATGGAGGGGCGCACAGATCTCTACAGGCTAGACAATGGAACCCTGACTGCCATAAGGTATCTGCATGAAATCCTTGGACCCATTGTCAGACCCTATGCTGGTGCAGTGGGTCCTTGGTTCCTCCTAGTGCATGACAATGCCTCATGTGGCGAGAGTATTCAGGCAGTTCCTGGAGGATGAAGGAATTGATACCATTGAATGGCCTCCACACTCGCCTGACCTAAATCCAATAGAACACCTCTGGGATTTCATGTTTTGGGCCAGCCGACACCGCCAGGTTACACCTCAGACTGTCCAGGAGTTCAGTGATGCCCCGGTCCAGATCTGGGAGGAAATACCCCAGGACACCATCTGTCGTCTCCTTAGGAGCATGCCCCAACATTGTCAGGAATGCATACAAGCACGTGGGTGCCATACAAACTACTGAGTACCATTTTGAGTTGCTGCAATGAAATTTCAGCAAAATGGACTAGCCTGCTGCATCATTTTTTCACTTTGATTTTCGGGGTGTTTTAAATTCAATCCTCTGTAGGTTGATAATTTTAATTTCCGTCAAACGATGGTGAATCCTTATGTTCCTAACCCATTACTGTTACAGAGGTGTAGGTGGGACAGAACACACGTGGAGAGCAGTGGGACACACAAGGCTTTTATTGAATGATAGTGAGAGCACACAATTAGTATAGCAGAGTTCTGGTAGAAAAAAAAGTGTTAAGTCCATAACGCAGAGTGGGGTACACTACCAGGATAACCAAGTTCTGATAGGGAAAAGGGGGTTAAGTCCGTAACACAGGTTGGACATGCAGCAGGGGGCGGAAGTCCAGTAGACAAAGGGGGTTTGTAGCACAGTCTGAGCACACAACAGGGAGATAGGACTCTGGTGGCCAAGTTTAAGTCCTCGGCACAGGAATTGGCACGCAAGGAGGCAGAACTCTGGTGGGCAAGGGTTAGGTCCGGGTTAAATCATTAGTGCAGGGGTTGGCACACAGCAAGGAGGCAGAACTCTGGCGAGTGGTGGAGAGAGCAAGGGGCCGGTAGCAGTGGCAGGCCTGGGATGGAGAGGGTTGTAGGATCTGGCCACACCACAAGACCTCTCACAGCACAACACCAGGGGAGGAGAAGAGCGAGCAGGGAGAGAGTCCCAGTGTCCAGGAAGCCACATAGACAATATGACAATACAAGTCCCAGCAGTTCAGAAAGCGAAGCACAGCCCATACAAAACTATTTTTCTCAACAGTTCTGTGTATCTTCTAACTTCTTTCTAGGAAGAAATGCAGCCCTCTGCTCCTGTGTGTCCATCACAGGAGTAAAGTCAGAAAAAGGTCTGAGCCTTTCTGCCAGCATAAGGATATTATATTGTCCCTTCAATTCAAGCAAACCTCACGCACCTGGTGCCGACTTGTCTGGCTTTATCCAGCTACAGGACACTGCTGTCTGTGCCTCCTGCTGAGATAAACCTCATCACCCACCCCCTGCGGGGCACAGGAACTCCTAGATTTAATTAAGCAGACAAGCGGACTGCTTGACACACTGTTGAGTTCAACAAAACAACACAAAAATAAAATATTTCTGCTCTCCATCACAACTACCCAGTCTATATCAGTATAGATGTCCAGCATTATTATTATTATATAGTATTTATATAGGGCCCAAAGTTTCCTCAGTGCTATACATTATAGTGGGGGACAGTACATGAGACAATACAGTAACAATACAATACATGAGGGGTTCAAGGGCCCTGCTCCTTGGAGCTTACAATCTAGGAGGGAGGGGATAGTGGTACAGGAGGAAATGGCTGTGGGAGATGGAGTGGAAGAGATCGGCTGTTAGGTGAGGGCGGGGTAGGCTTCCCTGAAGAGATGGGTTTTCAGGGTGCGCCTAAAGGTGAGGAGGGTAGATGACAGTCTGATGGATTTGGGGTAGTGAGTTCCAGAGGATGGGGGAAGACCTGGAGAAGTCCTGGAGTCGGGCATGGGAGGAGGAGACCAGGGAACTGGAGAGTAGGAGGTCTTGTGAGGAGCAAAGAGTACGTGTTGGGTGGTATTTGGATATCAGGTTGGTGAGGTAGTTTGGGGCAGTATTATGGATAGCTTTGTACGTCAATGTTAGTAGTTTGAATTTTATGCGTTGGGCAATCGGAAGCCAGTGGAGGGAATGACAGAGGGGGGTGGCGGATACGGAGTGGTTTGTAAGGTGGATAAGTCTGGCCACTGAGTTCAGGATAGACTGAAGCGGGGAGAGTCTGTGATGAGGTAAGCCGGTGAGGAGGCAGTTGCAGTAGTCGAGTCGTGAGATAATAAGGGAGTGAATGAGTTGTTTAGTAGTGTCTGGGGTTAGGAACGAACGTATATTGGAGATGTTGCGGAGGTGGAGCCTGCATGAATTTGCCAGCGATTGGACATGGGGCTGGAAGGATAGGTTGGAGTCTAGAGTGACACCTAGAACTTTGACTTGCAGGGTGGGACTGATGGTGGTGTTATTGGTCGTGATGGAGAGGTTGGGGGGGCACAGGCTGGGGGGGAAACTAGGAGCTCGGTTTTGGAAAGGTTTAATTTGAGGAAGTGGAGTGACATCCAGTCTGATATGTCATTCAGTAGGCAGGTGATTCGGGCAGAGACTGAAGGGGTGAGGCCAGGGGTAGAGAGGTAGATTTGCGTGTCATTGGCGTAGAGTGGTAGTTGAAGCCATGATATTTTTCCTCATTGAGATATGATGTGTTTTCAAAGTGTTCTTTAATTTTTTTGAGCAGTGTATATTTATCCTATTTTCCTTCATTTTGATGTAAGATATTTAGCAGATTATATGGATTTTTTTAAAGTGTGGCTTTCTTTATGATGGTCAAAAACTTCACTGAATGGTTGGACAAGCAGGCTCATGCCAAAAATTTAAACTTTTATGATCTATGTAGACAATTCAAGGGTTCCACATATTCATAAATAGGTGTCATGTTGATG